GCTTAATTTTACATTTAAAAGTCCAATAAAAATTTATAGAAATCGTTGAAGAATCAATTAAATGTTAATGCAAGACAAACTAATGTATTAGATATCGATTCATAATAGGCTAAGCAAATCGTTCCATGGATAGACCGACCTAATCTTCCATGTCACTAACAGGCTGACTGTTCAACATACAGTGGTGGTTTAGCCAAGGTTTAGCTGGGCCTACCAGCAGCTCTCTGCTAACTTTAGCTCTGTAATTTGTAGCAAATTACTAAACAAACATTGATATTAATTTGTATTAAAAGCACTTGGCTTATTATTTGTTTAATTTAGTAAAAGGTATTTTTGTATAACTTAAAAAAAGAAACTGTTCCTATTTTTCCGACTTTCCTGACTTCCAAACATGTGGTTTTGTACCTCTAGCATTGAATGATGGGTATTTTAATACTGATGTCATCTTCTAAAAATATAGCAGCTTGCTAATCGTTTTTTTGACAGTGAAAAACAAATAATATTAATAATATTAATAATGTTTATTAACCAAACAGTGATTTATTCTTAAAAGGATAAAAGGTTGATGTTACCATACTCTGACAAGCTCGATTTACAGTGCATTTAGACCGCAGGTAACCATAAGACAGAGTAGGGTAGGCTCCCTGGTATAGATAGGCTACCCAGCCTTGCCCTTAGCCTAGACAAGGTAGGCCTAGGAGCATGCACTGCCTGCCTGAATTTCGGCTAGTTTTGATTATTTTACATCATGTATTGGTTTAACTTTTTTAAGCCTAAAGTATTATGATGTATTTATGGAATGTACTGTATAACCAGCACTATAATGCATTTTTAATGACCTTTGTAATTTGTTTTTCTTAAAATAAATAAAAATTGCAAAAATTAGATAAATAAATCTAACGATGACATCATTGGCCGAACATTCGTAAAATAGAAGGTTCGTAAAATAGAAGGTTCGTAAATGAGAAGTTCGTAAATGGGAAGGTCGACTGTAATGTCATTATTTTCAGTTGGGAAAATGTTCTTCCGAAATAATGTAATGAAAATGAATGAATGAATGAACAAATACATAAATTAATAACGAATACATGAATAAATGAAGACATAAATGAATGTACAAATAAATGAATGAATAAATAAAGGAATGGCTCGATGAATATCTACTGTATAATTCATAACCTTATTTTTTCAAAAGGGCTTGCAGATGAAACATTGAATTCAATTTAAAAAAAAAAATACTCAGATACTCAAGTATTCGTCCATCATACAAAGATATGAATTCTGCTGGCAAATAATCAAAAACCATAAAAACTTACTTAAACTAATTGTTAATATTCTGCTTATTAATGTTTTCAGTGGTTTAAATATGTACGATATACATGCCGTCCCCATCACCATGTCACCCTAGAAGTTAAATGTGCGAATGGCATCGGGCAAGAAAAAGTTCTTGATGATTTGATGCCCTAAACATTATTTCCGTATTGATAACAGGTAATGATAAGGCAGCACACCGAGACTACTCTTTTAAAGATATAATTTTATTAGCTCATGTCTAATAAAATCACAACTTTAAAGTTAGTCTCAGAGTGCTACCTTATCATTACCCGTTATCAATATTTATTCAGACTAAACACGACTACTGTACAAATACTCTTGCCATTAATTTTACACGAAAGCAAATTGTTCAGATCATCAATCGTCAACTTAGGGCCTGTTCGAGCAAAAACGCCAACCATATTCCGTTTATTTCACCGGGTAATCGCGTTGAACACTCAGCGGGTGGTCGACCATTCGAGCAAGTTTTAGCTCATGGTAAGTATGTGTAATGAAACTACTCCGGAAGTAAATTTCAACTTATCCCATGGTTAACAACCCATTCTTTGTTTACTTGCTACTGCTGCTATAACCGGCCCATGTACACACAGCGCGGCACGGTGGAACGATAATGTAGCTCAATAACTTATAATGGCTACTTTAAAATCTATACGTAGGTAAGTTTATTCAAGTTTATTTCTCCGAATAATGGTAAATCTACAAATCAGTGGAACGATAATGTAGCTCAATAACTTATAATGGCTGCTTTAAAATCTGTACGTAGGTAGGTTTAGTCAAGTTTATTTTTTCCGAATAATGGTAAATCTACAAATCGATCGCGTAGCTATGCTTCTAAATTTAGATTTCGTTGTGCATGCGTGAGGAGGCGAAGGAGAGCTGCAACCACACCTGGGCCGTAACCTATTGAATTTCGTGCTGGGCTGTGGACAAAACATTTTGGAAAAATATTTAAGGTTGATTTATCATCGCCTAGGCTCCATGGTCATTCCATACACAGCATTCTACCCAGCAATTTGGTGGTCAAAATTGTTGCGGATAATCCAGATGGTATGGTAATTAGACTAGTGTCTAGTAGACGAGCGGTTTTAGAAAGTGTGTACCGGTAAATTAACTGGTAAATTGCACTGATATTTTTTCGCTCGAACGGGCCCTTACTCAACATCATCATTTTTACATTACGGTAGGTACATATTTAACAAGCCTTAATTTTATTTTGAATCTCCATGCTTCAAATCCTGGATCTGCCCATCAGGGTTTGATTTGAATAATCTTTAATGTTCAAGGGGTATGTAATTACTATGATCTACTGTGTAATAATATGTAATTTTGTGCCTTTTTAAATTCACTTTTTCTTGTCTACAGTATGTACCCTTTGCAATCCTTGGGCTCGTATTAACATTAATGTCAACAAAAAAAGGTTACCTTCGACAAGTTAGGTTCACTTACAGTAGGCAAAAGTATAATTATTACACTACCAATTATATAATTCTTCTACAAAGAAATCAAACTTCCTTTCTTGTGTTGTATAGTGTGTCATATTTCTTAGTATCATTCAGGAATAAAAACACTTTAATGTTTTTCATGGTTTTTAAATGATGATGAAAGCATGTAAACATTTTTAAAAAAAAACATCTACCATGAATTGAACACATGACTTTAGAGGCAGAAGACAAGCACACTATAATCCACTTTACTGTAAATAACTAAGGATTTTTCACAAATGCAGTCACCATGAAAGGGTTTTCAAGTATTAGTCAGTTTATTTACTTTTAATCAACTAGAAATTTTCTAAATATAATCTATTCAGACCAAGAAATTTACTTTTAATAAACTATCAAAATTATGTCAACCTGAAGTAAACTGTAAATATGGCCTTGACTTTACAATCCGCTTTTTAATTACAGTATGTCAATGGATTCTAGGTTTTTCAATCACCATTCGTTTCATTTATATTCAAATAGTTGAAGTATAAAGTTGAATTGCTTATTTCCTTATAGTAAGTTCGGTTGGTTATGTGGCATTAAGTAACAAGTACATGTAATAGCAGGGACAGATATAAAAATATCAATGTGTGGTATTTAAGAAGGAATTTGCCATTACAAAGCTTACTGTTACTTAGTAAGGAAAACTGTTCATTAAAAAAAAATCAAAATTTTGCTCACTTATGTTATCCATACATTTCATAAATTGCAAATTATTCTAAAATAAATGCTGAATAAATTATGCTTTTAATACTCAATGCTGTTTTGACCTTGTACTTATTGAGTTTCACTTAATTTGCATTTTATACTTAGGTACAGCACAATGCAATTTAAGTGAAACTCAATGAGTTTCACTTAATAATGCATTGTACTATTACTCAGTGGTAATAGTTTGTTTCTTGTCTAAAAAAAAAATCTCCTTCACTCATATCTTAATAAATATACAGTAGGCCTACTAATTAACTTTCTACTTGAAATCATTTATTATAATCAATTCACTCAAAAGTATAAATCATCAAATATCATCATTGTTTTGTACTGTAGGTCAATGAATTCAAGGGGACGGAGGTGGGCGACACTCTGACTACAGTATATACAGTACATGAAGCTTTGAAAACAGTGACTTTACTCCATTTTATACCTCCATGCTTATTCCAAATCTATCATTTTCATTGAATAAACATCATTGTTGTAATCATATGGTAAACTAATATTTTATTCAGACAAAAAGGTCAAACTGAGGTGACACAACAGTAATAGGGGATCTTGCATAGGTTGAAGATATCAATATCTCACATTGGCAAACCATACAACAATGTAGTATCAGTTCTTTTAACTGTTACACAATCAGTCCAGTATGTACACTATATCTTAACATTACCAGCAACATAATTTTAATAATGCTCATTTTAGCATCTACTACAAAGGTCAAGTCATCTTATTGTAAGTTCTGTTGATGTTTGACTGGTTCGTTTCTTCACTAAATTATGTTTTATTCAATAAAAATTGAATTTATTTTTATTATTGACAACGTGCCAGCAAATGTTGATTTTTCTTTAAGGTACAGTATGCTCAGACTAGGCAGAGAGATACAGTGGAGAAATTTTATCTATAAAACAAGATTTCATTCTGTGTCCAAATTTGAAGTATGTGGTCAGCATACTATGAGTATAATATGTAATATTATTAATGTTTTAGAAATTAATAGAGCCTAGGTACTGTAGGTCATCAATCTAGAATATCTAATATTTTGATGTGTTTGTCCTTCCTCATTACCAAAGAACAGAAGACTTACTGTATAAAGATGAAATGTTCACAAGCAAGCCCCTTCCAAAGTAAAAGGGAAGGGAGAAGGAAGGGAGAAAGGAAATGGAAGGGAGAAGGGAGGGAAGGGAGGCCATACATACAGTAGCTGTCAAGTCAGAAGGTCTTGTTGGCTTGAGAGTCTTTACCCACCTCATCCCCTAACATGAGGCTATTACAATATGACATATTTATTACAGTATGCTTTTTATTTTGTTTCACTACAGTTATTGAAAAAAAGCATGAACTTCACAAGAGACTACTCTACTTAGGTGCTGACGGGAGAGCCTGAGGGTCTGAAAGTCTTCAGTCCCACGCAGAAACAGGAATACACGCAGAATCACTGGAATACAGTATTAAATGGAACTAGAATAAACCTACCTTAAAAACTTGTCCATATGTTCCATTGCCCACTACTTCCATTAAATCAAATATTCCAGCAGGCTCCTACAAACCAAAGACATAAATATTATTATTATATCATTTAAAATGTAAATACATTACTTATACTGTATAGCGCAAACATATCTGATGACATCTCAATGTGCTTTACAAACTTTAAAATGTATAATATAACTAAAATACATTAAAAATACTGTACAAAGCATTCACTAATCAAACAACCATTCCAATTTAAACGCAATTTCACAATTTAAAATGTCATAAATGATAAAAGTTTGGCACAATTTTCAGTTTAAAAAGCAATTTCGCAAGTGAATAAAATTTTTATTTTATTTTATTATTCAGCCCTTGAAATTAGCGTCGGCATTCGGCAATGCCGAGGTAATTGACGACGCTTAGCAAGCTTACCACGGCACCAAATTGCCGAGGCTCCTTTTTGATAGACCTACATGTACTGTAGCAAGTGGCCTAAAGAAATTTCAGCTTGTATGCACACAGAATGTTAACATTTTTTAGTTTATTATTGTGTGTAAATTAAAATTACAAACCAGGAATTACCACAGTCAAGACGATGTATTTATGCATGCTGTAAACACAATGGCCCAAGCATGTTGTTGTGGCAGGCGACTGCGAACAACGAGGGCGTGGAAGATTTTTGGTAGATTCCGACCTGGGTACTCTATACTGTGACATATGTTCATTTTAAAGCAGCCGTAAAATTAATGATTAATTTATACTATTATTATAATATACAATATGTTTTAATGTTGCTGTTTTTACAAAATAAACTTCAATATATATACAAATAAATTAAATATTCAGTGGTTGACTTGTTTATTTTGTGTACGTGTTTTACCTGCTTCAGAATGGTACGAACTATAAACATTACGTCATTTAATAATGAAGAGAGCGGCGTTGAAGGGAAAAATGCTTTCTTGGTTTAGGGCAAACCCTTGCTAGATAGTTAAATAGGTATGTCTAGAACTTGTTAAATTATGATCAAATTAATTAAAATACTACATTGATCGACGTTAGGCCTAGTCAGGTGAGCTTTTGTTCTGTAGCTGTTGTTTGGTGTAGTTTCGATGATAGATAATCCCTTTTAGCTGTAGTTAGGGCATAAGTTAGAGAGACGCTAAAAAATGGAAATTGCTGACGTAGTGCGGAGGCGAGTGCAATTTACGTCGGCAATTTTTCGCCGAGGACTTATCGTCCGAATTTCGAGGGCTGAATATTTACTTTTAATTTTTAATTATTATTTACTTATTTTTTAATTTTATACAATTTTTTTATCAACAAAATACAAATCGATAAAACAATAAAATGCATAATATAGTATTCACAATTATGTCAATTTCTACAATTCATTACTGTAAAACAATATACAGTAATGCATCATTACTGTGAGATCACTAAATCGATAGCAAGTGTACATATACCATTTGCACCATACTGTACCATGTCATGCTGTTTTGTACCATTTCACTTCAGTAATGTCATGTCATACACCATGTCATAGAGTAAACTGTACTATGTCATAGCTGTACCATGCCATATAGTATATTGTACCATGTCATACAGTATATTGTACCATGTCATACAGTATAAAATGTTCTCCCAATTGAAATATTTTAACTGGTAAATTTGTTCATATAAAGCCAGCTAAGCATGCACAACGTGAGGTATTGCTTCTTTTGAGTTCAATGGCTTCAATAAACAACAAAACTGTACAACAATAACGATAGCCTAGTCCTGGACTGGAACAGTGAAATATGTTCACTATTGAAAGACGGCCTGCCAAGGCTACTTGGCCTAATAGGTGATTTTTCTTTCTACCAACACAAAAAAGTGCTGCTGTCATTTATTTTATATTGTTTTACTGTATATACCTATAACTGTACTATAACACTTTTTTTATGTTACTGTACAACTAAGCATCACTAGCTCACTACTATTAAGGTCACTACTTTTGTGTCACTGAATAGATGAGAAGCTATGCTACAGTACTGTACTGTAGTTTACAGTCTCAAGGCATTTCTATCTGCTTTTAAATTCAAGCAATTGAATGTAAAAAGATTTAAGGGAATTATCTCGGTATTTCTGTTCCATCTCCAGAGGCAAGATGACTTCTTTGTCTGACGATTTCCTAAATGCTGCATAGGAATTTGCTATGCAAACAAAAGCTAACATAAACTATTAAACTGGAAGCCAAAGGCAGGCCTACTGTACAGTACTAAGCTGACAGATTTTCTGAGAATTGCCTGAATGCTGACGGTACTGTAGGCCTGTCAGGAAAAATTTTGGTCCGGGGCCAAAATCGGTCCGCCGGATTTTTTTTGGGCTTTAAAATTACCTGCCAAATATAGTATAAGCCAAAATCGGTCCAGCGTCTATTTAATAGTTATAACTTGTATTTTTATAACGTTGTTCATATTTTTTTGTAATCAAATGAGAGATAAATATCTTATCTCTTATTATATAGCCTAATATGTTTTCATTCATTATTGAACAGTATGTGTCAAATCAGGTGAAATCATTGGTGAAAATTAAGTAAAGCTTCGAGCTCATCAGTAAACCCTTTCGTGTAAAAGTACAAAAAGAAGTTAAACGATGAATTGATGTGGTCTTAAATCGTGTTGGTCTGCTGTAGTTCATTTTTTACCATGTTTTGCTTTGGTTGTGTGTGCAGCTTAACGCCATGACGAAGTACATGTCAAGGAGGTATAAAAATATTTTTATACCTCCTTGGTACATGCATTCAATTCTGAGAATGCTTACTCCTTTATTTCATGTAAATTAGAACATCTATTATATGACCTAATACCCCACACAATAATAAGGAATATTTAAAAACTAATAAATCAGTCTTGTGTTTCATTTTAGGCTCAAACGTAGGCCTAACACGGCCGCCGAAAATTATGCACGCTGTGTTTATCACCTAGGCCTAGGAAATGCATTATCTGGTGGTTTGATAAAACACGAACCTCAAAAGCGTAACGAATCAGTCTATCACTGCAAAAGACTTTGCAAGTGTGGGAGAAGCATACAGTACTTTAATTCCTCCACTCCACGGGAGAAATAATCATATCCTACAAGCAGCAGACGAGTTACAAATAAAGTGGCCAGGCCGACGCGGACCAATTTTCTCTAAGCGGGACCGGTTTCAGCGGTTAAAATCAATCCGGAGGACCGATTTTAGTAGTCCGGAGGACCGATTTTAGTAGTCCGGCGGACCGATTTTGGGTGCCAAAATCTGTCCGCCAGACATTTTTTGGCCCAGACGAATTTTGGCGTGACAGGCCTATTAGTACTATACCTCAAAATTTAACAAATCTGAATGTTTTGTAAATAAGTAAAATATACAAATTATTAAAGAAAAATGACGGGACATTAACTATGAATCAATTATTAAATTAAAGAAGGCAGATTTCATTGGAGAATTTGACTACACTAAAATAATTTCAGAACAGTTTTGAGTATATACTCAATTACATTTTATTACTATCATCATCAATTTATTTTTTAATATCAGTCATACCATCCCATCAATAATAATTACCATAATATTTACTAAACTTTACAAAAAAACTTGGTGAATTTTTAACAAGTTGAAGATATGCAACTTATTTATTTTATTTTATTTATTTCAACAATATTTTACGAGGGTGGTCCATCCAGCCGGATCTGATCACTAGGGACCCTCAATACATAACACAAGTAACAAAGGAAATATAAATAGAAAAACAAAGAAATTAAAATGAAAAGAAAAATAAATAAAAAAAAATGTGTAAAAAAAAATAAATAAAAAATTTAAAAAAATAAAAAATAAAATAACTAAGTAACAAAGGAAAAGAAATTATTACATAAAACTATATTATATAAATAAAAATTTTAATTAAAATCAAATCAAACTTAACAGAAGGATACAGAACCACTTAATGTAGTTGCAGGATCTGTTATTGGAGAAAAAGTTGCCTGATTTTCATTTTTTAAACTTGTTTTATTTGTTTGGCCATTTATTTGCCTGACCTTGTATTTGTTTGGCCTGTATTATCACTTGTTAATTATACAGTACAAGAATAGAGACTATAATACAGTACTTTACTATTGACTACCAAAAGTGCCCTTAAATATTGACTACCAAAATAGGTAAATTGCATACAAACACAATAAATGCTTACAGTATGGTAGGGTGATTGTAAATTCCAGCACTTTATTTATCAGCTGATATCCAACTGTATTCTTCACCCTGTAACTTGTTGTTTTCAATAAATCTGACAATTGTTATTGGTAAATTATGTTACTAAAAATTAAGGCTTGGTAAATATGTACAGTATGTGGTTTATAATTTCCTACAGCATATTCATTTCCATTGTGCCTTAATTACTATGTTTTTGTTATCAGTATACAAAATTCCTTGAGAATTTCCTGTTTGGTAGAACTTTGCATAACCAACTATTTCTGTTGATGTTTGAATATGTTATTTATGTTATTTCTCTAAAAATAATTTATGATGATTGTAAGAAAAAGTATTTTCCACATTAGTAATAGGAGTATCACTATAAAGATAAAGATAAAGGTATGTTTGCAGAAGACACCAAGTTTTTTAGTACTGTCCGCGATCTCAAAGCATTGTATGAATGGAGTGAATGATGGCAGTTAAAATTCAACATTGATAAATGCAAGGTTATTCATTATTGCAAGTCAAATCCACAACATCAGTACATCATGTTATCATCGAATGGTGAAAACACTCTACCAACTACCGAAAAGGAAAAAGACCTGGGTGTGTTTTTTGACAAGTCACTAAAATTTTCATTTCATATAAATGAAGCAGTAAATAAGACAAACAGTCTTTGGGCTAGACAGCTCTTTTGCATTCTTCTGTACAAAAGTATCATTCGACCATATCTTGAATATGCCAGCTATGTATGGTATCCTATTCTAAAAGGGGACTCTGATAAGATCGAAAGAGTGTAGCATAGAACGACAAAAATTGTACAAAATCTTAGTGATAAAAGTTATGAACAGAGATTAAAGGAACTGGGACTACCTACATTAGATTTAAGAAAGAGAGCAGATATTCTCCAAGTATACAAAATAGTAAATGGCACTGATGATATTCAAGTTAGAACCTTCTTCAATATTATGGATTCCGACAGAACAAGGGGACATAAGTTTAATTAAGAAAGCCTCGAGCTCGTCTTAATGTTAGAAGTCACTCTTTCTGTGTGAGGGTTATAAACTTATGGAACAATCTCAACGACCAAACAATACATGCATGTAACTTCTCAACAAAGATGGGACAATGCAAAACAAATTTAGCTACCAATTTTAACAGAAAAAAAGTACAAATGGTGGGCGTTTAAAAAGCTAACACCTTATTTCAGAGCCCAAAGATTCAAGTAAGAAGAGTAAGAGCGTAGCAGATTCCATTTTTTCTGTCGCTGCAGCTTGGCACTGTCGCATGATGCTGTCACGTGCCGTGGTAGCATTCTGTGTATGTGTCAAGATTGTCTGACATATAGGCTAGTAAGTATATGTAGAACTAAGTAATCTAGATGCCAAGACAAAAAGTAAAGGAGACATACTTTAAATTTTAAAAAGTTCTGGATTCGAATAATTGATGTCACCTCCGGCATCATCAAATATAGTAGGCCTACTGTACATTGGGCTATCAAGTTGCCATTGTTTTAATTAACATACGGTAGGCCTACGGTAATAATAATTTATAAAATATTAATATTATATACATTGATCGGCCTACAGTAGGCTTACCTAGGCCTAGAAAGGAGGGTACCTACATTTTCAGTAGGTTTGGGCTAGCCTAAACAAGATTAAATTAAGGGCTTAGGCCATAGCCAGGGAATTAAAGTGTAGGCCTAGGCATAGGCCAGGGCCTACTACTACTAGGCCTACCTAGGCCTGGACTGATAGGTTAATGATTCAGAAGGCTGGGCTGTTTAGTTAAATTACGGTACGGTAATTATAGTTTACAATATATACATTTGTTGGAAATATAAATGTTGATAGTGTTGTGTACATTTATAATAAAACAATAAAACGTTAGCAAATGTACCTAGCTAGGGCCTAGGTCTATGTTATGCAGTACTGTAATTGTAGCATGAAAAAAGTTGGCAGTTTAAATCTGAAGATCTTTAAATTAAGTCAAGCTACAGAACATACAACAGACAATGCAATACTAATTCAATGACAATACTCACCCTCAGCTGGGCCAAGTCAATATCATCTAGACTTCGCATGGAAGCCATGTTTGTTTCGGGCAATAATTTTCCCCAAAACAAAGAGTGATTTTAATACATCCGTATTAAACGATCAGATGGATTTTTGAACAATTCAGCAGATAAATAACGAATCCGACACTTCATCAACAAAGTATGCTATTTTTCATTTGAATGCTTTACAAAATCGTGATTCACTTTCTACAAGTCTTCCACTTCCGGCCTATTGCCCATGGAAATCGCGCCCCCACACACTAATAAAAATGCAAAGATCTTATAAACACAAGATAGCGTTCTCCGCGATTTAGGCGTAACAAATAGAAGCGTCGGTCAAGGTTCAAAAGTTTCCCATTTAGCAAGAGGGCGTCATTCATGCGCTATTACCGAAGAGAAAAAGTAATAAGTTTTGGAAGAGGGCGTCCTATCTGTTTTATGACCACAAGACGAACGTCTATCAGTGTTTTGGACAAACTGTACATTTCTATTTGTTTCGTTTCATTCTATTTATTTGTGTTGGATTTTTTACAGTGTAAACACCAAGGATATCCCACGAAAGTCTAGAAGAAGACTTGAAGTGGGGTCCTTCTGGTGGTGATTGGGCAGTACATCCCCTACTCTTTTCCGATGAGTGTACTGCGGTCTTTAAATACACACGGCTTAAACGTGCCATCCGAAAGATGGTGCGGTAATGTAACTTATGTCAGCTCCAGCTCAACCACAAGGAGTGGCTGCGACAGGAATTGAACTGGGACCTGAGATCTCCACGGTTCAGAGCACACACAGTGGCTACCACCATATTATCCAGCTGAGCTATCTGCTCTCTTTTAATTGCTAACTTTATATATTGATGTGGTCTGGCTTGGCACAAAATATCTCGAAAGTGTTCCTGAGGAAGATTCCCCAAAAATATGACAGTTTAGGGGTTATAAATTTGAAACCCCTAAACTGGCTTTACTCGATTTTGGAGTCTACTAATATGTAGAAAATACATACTGTATACATTTTTTTTTCTCCCCGACGAATTTGTGGTGGGGGCCTGGCGTAATGTAATAGTAGAATCTACCTGACGTAATGTAATAGCAGAATCTACTGTCAACATTTTTAAAGGGATTCTTGGTTAAAAAAAAATAATCTCACTCGCACCACATTCCACCAAAGCGCTATGATCTTTAAGTTTGCACTCAACTGGAAGAAGACGTTGTTTGGCTTGACAGCATCGCAGAATGATAGTTAATATATTCATAAGCTATTTTCAAGCCGGCAAAAAATACTGAATATAGTATGCCTGCAAATAGAATTCAATCGGTGATACCTTTGGAAAAATAAAAAATGTAAACTCATGAATTCATTATATGATATGGGCTACAGATCATATGAATTTTTTTCACCCAAATTTCGGACCCAAAACACTTCCGATCACCATTCGAATACTCTTCCAACTTATGTTGCTGATTGATGATGTGAAGGAAGGAAGCTATTTGCCTTTGACTTCATGCCTATTTCTTTACAATGTCGACAAATCCTGTTTCGAATTGTGTCGGTTTACATAATTAGGCCGATTGAGATTACCTAAACTAATAATTATAAAATACAATTGTTTATTCTACAAAACGATCGATAGGCCTAAATAGCTATATATATTTTTTGTATGCAAATTTTTATACATAAGACAGTATCGCGTGGACTTTGCATATGATATGTTGTGGATCTACATCAATTGGATAATTAGACACCGAAAATGATGGATAAGTGTTAATAGCGCATATGAACCAGGTCTCTATCATTACTCTGCTATAAATGGGCAATGTATTTGAAAAAAATGACGCAATATCAACATCTTAAGTTTATGTTGCATTTATTATGTGAAACTTTTAAATTATATTGCTGGCTTTTTGCTCTATCATAGGCAGTATTAGTAATTGGCATACGTGATTGTACAAGTCCACGTAACAGGAGCAACAGAATACACTGGAGTGCGCACTCAAGTTCATCCCGTAACAGTTGCGTGTTCGTTGTGTACGAGTTTCTAATTAAGTCACTCCAGCACACATTTGCTCGTGAATGTAGTGTCGTGTAAATGTAGCTTCCCGTTCACTTTCTATGCAACCTGTTTAGAGACTGATCATCATTTATTCCGACTCGTTGATGGGTCACAGATGGTGTTTGGACGTTGCGTCAAACGAATAGGCTGTGTAGTTGTTGGAGTGATCTTCAAGTGTCCCTGATCGATAGCCTAGTTCCAGTACTGTTGGACGCCTTTTCTGGTAAGATCTGGACCTCTTCAGTTACAGTTTGTTTTATATTAAACTGCTGAGGTTTTTTTTTTTTTTGTTTTTTTTTTGTTTTTTTTTTTTTTAAGATTTTTCTTTTTTTTAAGAGTGAAGAATCCAAAATACAATTGTTTTTCAAATATTTATCGTGTTATGTGCAGAAATATGTATCGATGCTTCTTCACTAACTTCTGAAGTATTTGATTTGATTTTATATTTGTATATCAATATCGGAAATTATCATATTCACTTTATATTACAATCCAGTACTGTCTATTTTTATGTATTAACTCACGTCCAAATTTTATTCAGATTTGCGAATTTTTACATGTTCAGTTAATTTTGTTTGATCAGCATCATTTTGAGCAGAAATTAGCTAAATTTAGGCAAGTGTATAATTTACTTTATGATTATTAAAACTTAAAACCCATATTAATTATTAAGGTGACACATTTGGGACCAAAAAAGTGTTCCCTTAACTAATGTCCTGGATTGCTATTTCAAAGATATAATTTCCCTCATTTAGGCTGAATAAATTCCCCCTTAATAGGGGTGTCCCCTTAATAGGGATGTAGGCCTACACTTAATAGGCCTAATGGTGTCCAAAGTTTTATACTGTATAAACTGTATAAAAACATAGATTTAAAGCAAGGACTTATAAGTGTATACTTTAAAGTCCTTGAACTCTGATTGGCCCATTAGCATTGTTTTGTACATTGTTGCCATTCTGTATGGTACCATCTGAACGTTACTATTCATTTTTTATTGTTATTAATTACACCAACATATTTTGAACGATACCTTTTCTGTATGAATATTTTGTACTCGCTCTGCATAATTCAATCTACTTCAATTTACTTTACTGAACAATCACAAAACTTTGCGGCCAAATTTATAGGCCTATTTTGCCACATGCCTGTGAGGAGGTGTCGATTTGATTGAAAATGCTCGTTAACCTACAGAACTGTTCAATAATGAATTATCAATAATGTCAATTTAATGGAGTGTGCCAACATTACATTTACATCACACGTCGGCAAACAGCCAAAAGATTCACAAGTATAGTAGTTTTTTTGTAATCTACGGTATAAAATTTATCTTGGTCGTAAGGTACGTTAACATATGTTTAATAACAATAATTTTAAGTAATATAATTTAACCGATACACTTTCATTGGTATATTCGATAGGCCCATTTCCCATTAGTTGTTCATTATTTTAAATAGGCCTAATAGACGTCGTCGAGGCTTGCGTATACCTTGGGCCACTTCAACCAGCGTTTTGCGTCAAAATGCGTCATTACTTCGGAAAAGGGAAATTTATTTACTTCACCATACCGCCGTTAAGTTTATTTTCGATTTTACATAAAAATTACAACTTTTGCAGACGACCATAATTTGCATTCTGATATGTTTCAACAGCTATATAGCGGCTAATATAGACTTACGTAATTTGTTTTCCTTTATTGTTCTCTATACACATGCAGAATTCGAACTTAAAGCGATCTCTGCCAATAATTACGGTATGACTTCTTCTAAAACATCTGTTTAATAAATTAAGAAAATAGTAGGCCTATTTAGAGTTTTTGTCATAAAGTGTACGAATGCCTTTAATCGGAAAACGTCAGCAAGCAAATAGCTAAATTATATAGGCCTATATAACTATATAAAAATACAACGATGAGAGTCAAACAATTAAATAGTATTAATAAACTATAACCAAAATCCCAACCTAAATTATGATTACGTATTGACTTTACAATTGGATGGTAATCGATGACTTATTTCGGACTTTATCAGGAATAAAGTAAATGTTTTCTATGAAACATGTAATATTTTATTATGTAGGTCTATACATTTTGAATGAATATGTTACAGAAACGTTGTGTGCGTTTATAAACAGAAAACAAAATTGTTGTGTTTGATTTTCATCAACATACCTACACATTCTCTATCAATTATGCATAGAAGGCAAAATAACTGGAATTGTAAAGATCTAGTGAGCCGTTGGCACACGCATGTAAAGATGCAAATATATCAGAAAAGAATAAAAGTGCTGATTTTCAAGAAAACGAGTTAAAATTGTTAATACAATTTTGAGCTCTCTGGCATACTACTTTTTGGAACATGTCAATATTGCTTCTTGAACTTTTTTTTTCTTTTTTTGTATTTTAATAACCCATATTTTGTTTTAAATGTACCGGTAAATTTATCTTTAGTCTAATATGCCTGTTACCTTGCTATTATTATAAATGAGTTATGTTATTATAAACGAAATATAGGCCTAGCTTTTTTCTGTTTCTGCTTCAAGATACGTTCCCGTGGCTATCCAAATGCCTATCTTAACAATTAAAGCGTTGTTTATATGACATTTCTAATGCTTTTGTTTAGAACTGGTCTACACGACGAGACCTTATACAACAATACTAAAGCAGAATTATTCGCATATTTTTATACTGTTCCAATAAATATTAAACATATGTATGACCATAGCCATAAAAATAGCTTTACACAAAATATCAAACAAGAATAAAACTCACACTAATCCAAATAAACCAGAATGATAAAAATTTTGAAACCAAAATTCGTATGAAATTCCTTGGAACTTGTCTAAATTTGACAACTTGAATGCAAAGAATTCGCATTGACGATGTGTTTTAAAAAGAACACATTTGTCTAAATCTAGTACCTTATATCCCTTTTTTAGCAGAATGATAGATCAGTTTGAATTTCATTATAAAATAATGTTTGCAACAATAAATCGTACTTTAATAGAATACAAATAAGAACCGGAGCAATGAAGTCTTTTCCAGTCAAGTCTATCGATGAGAGTAGCATCCTGAAAAACAAGGCAATAGGCTATTTTTAAGTGCTGTCGATTCATAATGCATAATTTATTGGATTTGATATCCCATAGGATCTAAAATATTTTAAGTCGTGTGAAAAGGATTTAAATTCTAGGAGTACTGAAATTAATTAAGTTCAATTAAACACAAAATAAGATAATCATTTTTTCTACTTTTTTTAATTTTAATATTTGCGATTATTCTTAATTTGTAACACTGGTATAATTAGGCGGCACATTAGGTTCCAATGTGGAAAAATGCGAAATTTGACTACGACGTTATAGTAAATTATTAACTTTCTTCTTCCAAGATAATCAAAGAACTTCGCATTTAATCTTGTTCAATCGTCCTTTTATCAATTGTCTTAGTCCGTCTCTTGCAGTAGCGTACCGGTATATCTAGAGTTCTTGAAATGGAGGGGGAGGGGGCTGATGGGAGGGCGCGAAGGTGATGTGGGGAGAGGGGGGCTCGATGATCAGTTGAGGGGCGCTAATTCGCAAAATATGGCGATTTTAGGTGTTGTTTAAAATCATAATTTTATCCCTTGCTGTCTACCATCTGCAAATATTTTATTGTGAATCAGCTATTATTAATATTTTTTAATTGTACACAAACAACCTATTGAGTTTGGAATAAAACATTTCTTTATGCTGTTTGGCATATAGTACAATTTATTTATGAATAAGGACTTTGATTTTCTATCTACAGTTCTGCATAATTGTTCAATAATAAGTTGTTTTAATAAAACAGCCAGCTGTAGAAGATGGTTTGCTGTATTTTATTTTTTATCCTTCTTTGTTTACAAGTTGTATATTGTTTATATTTAATATTTATTTTTTTATTTAATATTTTCAGATACATATTTCACATCCGATCGCCATGGGTTGATACTCCTGTCTCTTATACACATCTAGATGTGTATAAGAGACAGGGTTCGGTACTAAAAACTGACCAATCAGAACAGTACCAGGAATACGCGCGTGTCCAACAAGCACACGTGTTGTCCCACAAACGCACGTGTTCGCGTATGTTTTAACCACTGAAATCATTGAGGCCGCACCTAGTTCAGACTAGGTGGATAAACCCGGCTCAACTCACCCGGTTTATCCACCTGCCAGTCTGAACTAGGTGGCATATCTCTAGTCGGGCTGTGTTCCTATAGTAACTAGGCCTGGCGCGCCACCGTGTTTAACTTTTCTAAGCCGGGCTTTAATCGTTCCAGGGGTGGGGGGGGGGTGTCTTGCATTGACTTCGGGTGACGAAATGACCAATCACCATTCAATTACATACGCTGTGAGCGAGCGAGCGTACGTTTCGCAAGCAATGTGTTGCGTTGCGTTGCCAAGTTTGCGACGTCGGTTCCCACTTGTGAGCCGCAAAACCCTCGCGTTGCGTCACTTTGCGTCGATACGTTGCGTCGATACGTTGCGTCTTCGTCGTTGCGTTGCGTCCTAGAGGGATCCAAGCTTAAGGGTCCGTCAGTTTTTTACATTACATGTCTAAACTTAATTGTAGGATTTACATCCTCGTTTTATACATTCTGGTTGGTAAATGGTAATCAATGGGGTAAAATACACGGTTAAAGCATGGCTAATTCCTCCATGGTTAAAGTATCAAACTTAATAATTAAGTTTGAAAAGTTGAATCATAGCCTGCGACCTTGAATTTTAGGATTTGGGTCAGTTTGGCATGGACAACAAAATTTTGATGAATATAACAATAATGACCATGATAATGATGCAGATGATGATACAATACTGATATAAATAATTAACCATTTTCCTATATCTTATATTATTTTAATATCATTTATAGTATTTGGTCTATATTTAGGCCAACATAATATGGACGGATACGCGCATTCTTATCTAATAATATAATACCCCTGAGTTTTCATATCTAATTTATAAACATTTTCGACAAGACGTAAATGTCATCCAGTTATTGCATATTTAAAACTCACAAATGTTTTACATGAATAAATGGCTCTGGACAATCAGAATTTCAATCCAAGAAAAATATTGCCAGAAATTTTATGACTAGTCTAATATCTTTGTACATGGACAAATCTATGGTAGATTTAGTTATAAATGATATTTTGATTGATTGACTTATTGATTGATTAATTTGATTATATAATTGATTGATCA